CCGCTACACTACAAAACCGATGCTACTTTTTACTCTCATTGTATAAATATAGTACAACAAAAGAATGTGACCACGCTCGCGAGAGGACAAAAAGAACTGTGGAAGTGCAAAGAATTGGCGGTGTGTTTGGGTAGGTAAAAGTTTGGAGTTTGGAGTTTGGAAGGTGGGGCAAGGTGGGGTTGAGGGGTAGTTTTGAGAAAACAAACTAGGATGGTGGGTATGGGTTGTTTCGAAGTAGGGGTAGCAATTGTATCTTACAAGACACAGAAAATGATGAGTAAGAAGGAAGATGGGTGTGGGTTAGAAGTGGGAGTCGGATAATTGACAGAATGTGTTGTGTAAGAATCTTAATGCCTAACGTCTCAGATCGAAGAAAGGGCAATTTTTTGAAGGATGCTGGTGGTGTTTATTCGTATAAACGGCTAGGTACAACACTTCACTCTTCGTGTTGAATGAGGGCTTAACAATATTTAAATATCTTGTCGTGTACAGCAAAAAAGGCCGATATGCATTATATTCTATCTTCACTTACCCTCCTCCCACCACACCCCACCCTACGAAAACGAAGGCTGCAACTTCCCCGCCACCCTCTCCAACACTCTCTCGGGCAACAAACTCTCATACACATGCGCCACCCACTCACAGCACACGCGCCGCGTAAACGCCGGATCAATAATCTCCTCAATCCCAAACGCATTCGCCGTACGCACCGGATTCATCAACCGCTTATACTCCGCTTCGAGCTCTTTATACCGCTTCTCACGTGCTTCTTTACCTTGCGTCCGCTCAACCTCCTTGAGCTCAAACGAGTGTCCCACTTCAATTCCGCCTTCTAGCGGTAACGAACCCCAGGTCCCAGACGGCCATGCAACGCGCATGCGCGGGTCCCGGCAGTCTAGCATGACGCCGCCGGCGACGCCGTATACGCGGCGCACGATGACGTTGAAGATGGGCATCGTGGTGCTGTAGTAGGTCCGGGCGAGTGTGATTCCATGGCGCATGGTGGCGCTGCGTTCTGCGACGGTGCCGATGGCGTAGCCGGGTATGTCGACGAATTGGAGCAAGGGGATGTTGAAAACGTCGAGAAATTTTAGCATCCGGGTTATTTTTTGGGAGCCGAGGGCGTCGAGGGCGCCCGCGTTGACTTCGCAGTTTAGGGAGACGATGCCGATGGGTTTGCCGGAGAGGCGGGCGAGGCCCACGATGGCGGTTGTGCCCCAGAGAGTGCCGATTTCGAAGAAGGAGTTTTGGTCGACGACTTCGGTGATGATGGTGCGGGGGTTGTACATTCGGTTTTTGGCTCGCGGGATGATTGAGCGGAGGGTTTCTGATGTGCGGTCAATGGGGTCGGTGCAGTCGATTGTTGGGGGGAGTTTTGTGCCGCAGTCTGGAAGGTAGCTGAGAACTGTTCGGATTTGTTCGAAACAGCCTGCTTCGTCTGGTGCTAGGTTGTCGATTGTGCCGTTTGTACAGTGGACGGCGGGACCTCCAAGGTCTGTTACTGACAGATCTTCTTCGAATGTGGCGTTCTTAACGACGTTTGGTCCGGCATTGAATAGTGATCCAATATCTCCAGCCATGACGGAGAAGTGGCAAGCAACTACACGTGCAGCTCCTAGGCCAATGGCAGGACCCAGGACCGCACCCAGGTTTGGTATGCCCGAATTGAGTTGGTTGACAACGTGTTCGAAAGCTGGCAGTGGTGGAATGTAGGAGTAACCCCATGAGCGAATTGTAGTGACAGAGCCTCCACCAGAAGAGCCATCTACAAGCTTTACAATCGGCAGTTTAAGTGAAAGGGAAAGTTTCTCCATATACAACTACATCCATGAGCATGCGCGTAAGCAAATGGGCATTTGAACATACCGTCTTTTCCATCAACGAACCGTCAGCATGCCCAGCACGTATCGAAAAGTCATCAGCCGTAAAAACAATTTTTCTTCCTCTTAACTTTCCAAACCCTGCACTCTATCAGTATCTCTAGCTTACCAAATCTCTAATAAAACATACCTTGCACATTATTCGAAGGTACGTATTCTTCCGGCTCTTCCTTCGACGGTCCCAGTTGCTTCCACTTCACAGTCCCACTAACACTACCGACCTCCTGAAAACTCCCCTCATCAAGCAACTGCTCGACTCGCTCGCGCACCCATAATTTGCCTGCCTGTTTCTGGCGCAGGTAGCCTCGATTGCTAGTATCAGGAGTCGCAGCGCTCTTACGGAGCGTCGCAATCTGACCAAGGATATCCGAGTAATCAGCTGGTAAATCTGAATGTGCAGCCTTTCTCCGCCGTCGCTTCGGCGTGTTGGGCGCAATGTGCGAGCTGACCTGCTCAAGCCTAGCTTTCGCAGAGTCGGATGGCGTTGACGCGTCTGCGGGTGGGGAGTTCTTCTGTTCGTCGCCAGCCATTGTGAGAAAATCAAAGGTCAGAATCAATTGCTTTACTACTACAAAACAGAATTCTGGCGAGGAGACCCTGTCAAGAAAGTCATATTGGAGGGAGTTGACCTGATACACAGGTGGTGCCGTCGAATGTTGGGGTAACGCCGGGGTACCGAGGTATGTTTTCCGCATGCAGACTAGTCGACGGCAACGCCGAAGTCGTTCGACCCAGATCGTCGTCGCATTGGGTCTGAATAGTGCGGATGTTACGTATCGTTTGGTAGATATAGGCAGGGCTCATATCTGAAACGAGCCAGATTCCTCTCCGTTTGTACTTTGGAATCAACGTTACCTTTCCTCTGCCGTGACTGACCCGCGTACCAGAGTCACTCACAGGCGCCGAACAAGTGACTTCTCTCACCTGTGAAAAAAGATTTGCTTAGTCTTGACTGGACTTCAGCCAAAAGAGATGGATCGACCACCGCAAAAACCCATCAAGCGTCTTTTGATCGCAAATCGAGGAGAAATAGCAACTCGCATCATCTCCACAGCCCGAGAACTCGACATTGAAACGTACGCCATCTATACTTCTGGCGATGAAACGCATGCTGTACGGGCAGCCCATGCGATTCAGCTAGAGTCTGCAGCAACATTTATGAGCATCGATAAACTCATTGAAATCATCAAGCAGCACCAGATTGACGCGGTGCACCCTGGATATGGTTTTCTGTCAGAGTCGGAAGACTTTTGCAAAAGAGTGTGGCATGAAGCAGGTACCGTAGTTGTTGGTCCTGGGTGGGGTATTCTAAGTAATACTGGGGACAAGCTTAGAGCAAGACAGCTTGCTGAAGCCTGTACGTGACATGTAACATCAATTGTCATTTAGTCAAACTAACCTCTGCTCAGGCAACGTCCCGATATCTCCAGCACTCGAGAAACCCACCAACAAAGTCGAAGATGTCCAGCAGTTTGCCGCAAGAGTTGGTTATCCTGTTATGGTCAAGGCTGTAGACGGAGGTGGTGGTCGTGGTATCAGACTGATTCGCAATGAAGAGGAACTCGCTTCCTCGGTGAAACGAGCAGTTGAAGAGAGCCCTTCGAAGAGCGTCTTCGCCGAAAAAGCAGCAGTAGACGGCTTCCGCCACGTCGAAGTCCAAATCATTGGCGACGGTGCAGGAAACGTAACGCACCTCTGGGAGCGCGAATGCAGCATCCAACGCCGCTATCAAAAAGTCATCGAATTCGCCCCCAGCCTCGTCCCTAACCGCTCTCTTATAGCAAAAATAATCGAAGATGCCCTGAAAATGGCTCGACACGTTCGTTCCCCCAAATCCTTCAACCCATCAATACCCAAGACTAACATCTTGCAAAGATATCCTACTTCTCCCTCGGCACCTTCGAATTCCTCGTCCACCCCACTACCCAACTCTACTACTTCCTCGAAGTAAACCCACGCCTCCAAGTCGAACACACAATCACCGAGGCTCTTTCAACCACCGACATCGTAAAGTCGCAACTCCTCCTCTCCCAAGGCGCCACACTCTCCTCCTGCGGTTTACCCCTTCCCCCGCGCTCCCCCTCCACACCCCCCACCGCGCACTCAATCCAACTCCGCATCACAGCCGAAAACACGCAATCCAACTGGTCTCTGTCCATCGGCAAAATCCCTTCCTTCACCTTTCCAGCCGGAAACGGTATAAGAATCGATACGCATCTGCTCGCCAACCGCCCCAGCATCGTAAGCAGCGACTTCGACAGTCTGATAGCCAAAGTCGTCGTTACAGCGTCGTCGTGGGCGGATGCGGTGAGAAAGGCGCAGAGAGCGCTAGATGAAACGTTCATTGCGGGTGTAAAGACGAATATCGATATGCTCAAGGCGATAGTGGCGCATCCGGATTTCCTCGCTGGACAATGCGATACGCAGTGGTTGGAAAGTCGGCAAGCGGAGCTTCTCCAGCAAAGTCAGGTCTTCGCTTCCAAGGTGCAAGGGAATGGACTTGATGCGGGAACTGCAGCGGCGGCGGGAGCAGCAAATGGGGCTGTAGCTGCGCCGAATACGCTATTTAGGAAGGGAGATGCGTGGGCGCTTGGGTTGGTGGCTAAGGACGAGAAAAATGCAGTGCAGAGTCATTTGGAAATCACGCGTGTGCTAAGGAATGATTTCCCGGCTGAGCTGATGGCGGATGTGTTGTTTACTACGGCGGGGGCGGAGGGACCAAAGGCAGTGCCGTATACGATTACGCTGGCGGCTACGTCTGCCAGTGCGGCGGCGGCGACGGCACAGCATCGGAGGGGGAATGTGGCGGATGCGTCGCATGTTGTTATTCCTTTTCCTGGGAAGCTGGTCGAGGTGCTGGTGGATGAGGGGGATGTGGTTAAGGAAGGGGATGTGATTTGTGTGGTGCAGCAGATGAAGATGGAGCTCGAGGTTCGGAGTCATCGACGCGGACGGGTGAGTTGGGTGTTGGAAGTTGAGGACGGGGAGGATGTGGGCGAGGGAACGTTGGCGGCTGTTGTTGAGATTGAGAAAGATGCACGGTTGTAGCTTCTGGTATTGCGGTGTCTATCATATTGAACAGCAATGTATATGTATGTATATGAAATGCTGATGCAAAGTCTACATAGTCTCACACTTTATAGTCGTATGAACATTTCCCTGTGTTGCCCTGCTGTACGGGCACACTTCTCTTGCCTTGTTGACTACTTTCTCTAGTTCCTGCTCAGAGAGACCTCGTACTTTGACTAGCAAGTTGACACGCAGCCCCAGGTCGAGTTCCTTCATGCTGCCAACAAGCTCGACTGTCGATTCTACAATAGAGTCTTTGGGCGTGGTGGGCATCTTGATGCCGAGCGAGGCTGCGGAAGCATTCATTGCGGATTGGAAGCATGCACCCTAATATATTCAATTAGCAGGGAAACTCCAATGATAGATATGGAGCATGTAGAAGGACGTACATATCCCGCAGCGAAGAGCTCTTCGGGATTGGTTTTTCCCTTGTCGCCTGCGCCACCGAGAGCCTTGGCCATTGTCAATTCCACTTTGAGGTTTTCACCGTCGACATGGCTGGAGTAATCTTGTAAGTTTCAATTCTTTCGGTGCTATGCATAAACTTGAGAAATTCCTGGCGTACCCTGTCCGTGCTCCGACAACTTTGGCGCGCGCAGAGTAGAGGTGAGGTGCTGTCTCAGTGTTCAGAAAACGACGGCATGGTGCTGCGACAACGTTTCGCTGTGAGATTCGGAGAGCCTGGCGAAGCATGGGTGTAAAGATTCGGCTGGCCATTTTGCTGTATGAGCTTTTTCTAACACTGGGTGTCGTTTTACGACTTGAAAGGCTTAATGTGAATGTTGTGTGTAGGAAAAGTAGGAGAGAAAGAACTTCGTCAAAAAATTCTCAGTGACATAGATTCAACAGTAGCGCAGACACCTAGGAGCTATGACAGCTGTGACGTTGTTGCTCCCATCGACTGGTTCTACTCCGGACTAAATGTAAAAAGTCATGACGTTTGCGCGAGAGGATCTGGTGGAGCTTAGTGATTTAGCGCAAGGGACTCCCGCCGCTAGAGGGAAGCGAAAATCTGGGGAAAGTGTAAGCTTATGTGGAGTAGGGTAGGTATACCGATGAAATAATGACGATCTCACGTGTGGAGTATCACGCTACAAACACGTGGATTGCAAAACAGGTTCGGGAAAGCTTGTCACTGATATTCTGCATAATAACCACATGGCAAGGAAGCTACCGACGATGCGGGGCATTGAGATTACGCTCGACAAAGACATGAAATAAACGACAACTCTAGTTGCTTGTGAAAGTCGTAAAATATTTATTTTGAATGCGCTATCTATCGTATCTTCGTTTAGTAATCTAATGTCTTCTTGATGGCGTCGTACACCCCTGATCAAATCAGCATAAGATAAGTGATTGGGGAAATCTGTTGACCTACTTGTAACATCGGGAATAACAAACTGCTCAAACATGAGACCTGTATGGGTAGCCCAACCTGTCACTCTCTTGACTGGAGCCTCTAGTCTTAGGAAAGCCTTTTCTTGAATGGTCGCAGCAACCTCTGCTCCAACGCCGGCATTCATCATGCTTTCGTGCACTACGACTGCTCTACCAGTCTTCTTGACGCTTTCTAGTACAGTTTCCCGGTCCCAAGGGTAGATGGTCCGGAGGTCAATCAGCTCTACACTGCATCCAAAGTCCTTCTCAGCGGCTGTTATGGCGGCCGAACATGTGTATAGTGGGGTGCCGTAGGATATGATTGTCAGATCCTTGCCGGTCTTGAGAACTTCCGCCTTGTCGAGAGGAAGATGGTACGCATCCACTGGGACCTGCTCAACAGCGGCACGGTAGAGTATCTTGGGTTCCATAAAAATGACGGGGTCTGGGCATTGGATGGCCGAAAGGAGAAGGCCCTTTGCTTGTACGGGCGAGCGGGGTATTACAACGCGTAGACCAGGCGTATGGGTGAAGAGAGCTTCTGGTGATTGTGTGTGATAGCTGAATGATGTGTTAGCATATTTTCAGGACAATGCTGAGTAGCGTCATACAGAGCACCGTGTCCGACACTTCCAGTTGGCATGCGTATAACCAAACCACCGCAGTTGACGCCAGTGCTACCTGATCGATATCTGTACTTGGCGGCTTCATTGTGGATTTGGTCGAATGCGGGGAAGACATAGTCGGCGAATTGGACCTCTGCGACAGGCTTCATGCCCTCGGCAGCGGCTCCAATGGCAAAGCCGACTAGTCCTTGCTCGCTCAGTGGTGTGTTGAAGACGCGCTCTGTGCCAAAATCGCCAGCCAAGTTCATTGTACACCGGAAGACACCGCCAAACTGGACATCTTCTCCAAAGACCAGGACTCTTTCATCTGTCTGCAATGCATGTCGCAGGGCCTCGTTGATTGCAGTATACAGGTTGATGCGCTTTGTCTGGCCATTCCGTATCTCTGCAGGCAGCTCGGGGTTGGAGAGGGTCGACTTGGCAGTGTGATTGAGAATCGGGGTGGTGTCGTACTCGACGGTGCCGTTGAGGCGTGCACCAGGTGCGGCGGCAGAGTATGGCCTGTTGGGAATGCGGGTGTGACAGCGAGGGCGAAGCAGTGTTTGGCGCCGCAGCAGGTAGTGGGACAATGTGCGAGGGGATGGTGTTTTTGAAGCCATTATTTGTTTGTGATGGAAAGCAATGCGTCTACCCAACAGCAACAGCAGCTGCTTTGAAAAGATACATGAATAGAGGTCATGGTGGGCGTAGACAGAGACAGAGGAGCCGACGGTTAACGAAGCGGCTAACGGCGGCTCTCTGTGTCGAGAGAGAGAAGCAGCACGTGATAACTTGATCACGTAAGAAATGGCAAGCCACCGTGAAGCCACATCGGATGAAGCCACATCGGATGACGCCAGCCGGCACGACCAGCCCTTGGCACACCAAAATGCCTCACCCCATATAAAAATGTACAATGACGCCGTTGGTTCCCAGACCGTTGGCACGGTGGAGACGTGACTAAGGGCACGTCTCTTGCAGCAGCCGCCTCGGCTATTGTCCGTCACTTTGTATGTAGGCTGGTTTCTGCGCGCGGGGCTGCAAAGACAGTAAATAGTATGGAGTATCAGAGCACTCGTCACGAAGGATCAGGGTTCGAGACGGTGCAAAAGGATTTGCCCAGCACTTGGACCTTGGCTGCATACTGTCACCATGGGGAGCGATGCTCTGTTTTGTTGGGGAAAAAGCTGGGCGCTCAATCACTTGCAGCTTCTGGCCTAGCAGCAGCCAGACAAGCACGGGCCGACCGTGCCGCTATTTCCGCATCGTTATTTCGCCCTCTACGTCTCGCTGCTCTTTATACAGACGCCGTCTGCATCTCCCCGCACCACGGTGCTTGCATTTTGCTAGCTGCCCTCATGGCACTCAGCGCTTCTCGTCCCCGCGTCCCCAATGGCTCGTCTCTGCCCACCCTACGCCTCGCCTTCATTGGCCTATGTCATGCCTTCGCGCCAATGGTCGCCGCGCTTCCCATGCCATTTGGCGGCGCTCTCAGCGCTTTGAGAGAGGCCGACGACGACCTCCCAAAAGATGGCGATGACCCTCAGCTCTGGTTGTTTTTGGGCATTGCTGTCGCGCTGGTTTTGGCCGGTGGTGTCTTCGCGGGTCTGACCATCGCGTAAGTTGAATAGAGCTCCCCTGTCGTGCGTCATCTTGCTAACAGCTCCCACTTAGCTTGATGGGCCAGGATGAAATCTACCTTCAGGTCCTTGCTTCATCTGGTGAGAAACACGAGCGTAAGAACGCAAAAAGGGTACTCAAGCTTCTCGAGCGAGGCAAGCACTGGGTCCTGGTGACGTTGCTTTTGAGTAACGTCATTACAAACGAAACGCTTCCTATCGTTCTCGACAGGTCCCTTGGCGGAGGATGGCCTGCAGTTGTTAGTTCCACTGTGCTCATCGGTATGTATACTCCACTCTATTGCTTGTCGTCCACATCTGACACGCGTCAGTCATCTTCGGTGAGGTCGTACCCCAGTCGATATGCGTTCGCTACGGATTGCCCATTGGCGCCGCCATGTCCCCTATTGTCCTCGGTCTCATGTACATCATGGGAATTGTTGCCTGGCCTACAGCTAAACTCCTCGATTACCTCCTCGGTGAGGACCACGGCACCGTTTACAAGAAGGGAGGGTTGAAGACCTTAGTCAGCCTGCACCAGTCTCTCGGACTTGAGCATGAACGCCTCAACGAAGACGAAGTTACCATCATCACCGCAGTCTTGGACCTCAAGGCCAAGGCCGTGGGTAACATCATGACGCCAATGAAGGATGTCTTCACCATGTCATCTGATACTGTCCTCGATGAAAGGATGATGGATAGCATTCTCTCCGCAGGATACTCGCGCATCCCAATCCATACCCCTGAGAACGAAAACAACTTTGTGGGCATGTTGCTTGTCAAGATGCTCATCACTTACGACCCCGAGGATGCACTGCGCGTCCGCGACTTCGCTCTCGCTACCCTCCCGGAGACGCGCCCCGAGACAAGCTGCCTGGACATTCTTAATTTCTTCCAAGAGGGCAAGTCCCACATGGTCTTGGTTTCTGAATACCCTGCTGAAGCTCGCGGTGCCGTTGGTGTCGTCACTCTCGAAGACGTCATTGAAGAGCTCATTGGCGAGTAAGTCATTGCCTACCGTAGAATATCGAGCACGAACTGACAGCAGTAGGGAAATCATTGACGAGTCAGATGTCTTCATCGATGTCCACAAGGCCATACGCCGCATGGCACCTGCCCCACGCGCTCGTGTTCCCCGAGGAAAGATTGTCAGCGACGCCTCGCGCAAGCTCTCAGAAGCACCTGTCACCGATACCGAAACGGAGAGCGAAGCACCCGCGCCACGTAACAAATCGCTACCAGACATGCCTGACGGCCACCCAAAACCTTCTTTCATGCTTCGACGTCGTAGCAGCGGTAGCAAGGCAGGCATGTCGCCTCTCCGCAGTGACGACCCTGCCGTAATCGAGCATCTCAAGCATCTTGGTCCTTCGAACGCTGCTACCCGGCCCAAACAAACGCGCATCAACACTGTCAAGATCAAGCCCGCCCCGACTAACCTGACCGGCCCTGATATTCCAAAGACGATACCAGAAGATAGCCAGGCATCTCATGAGCCAGCACCAACCGAGGGTGTGATTACACAAAATTCGCATGCTCCTGAAGGCGGAGTTGGTGAAGGCCTATTGTCATCTGCAGGGCGTGAGGCTAGCGATGGAGTTCACAGCGTGGCTGTGGGATATGGCACTATGGCACCAAGTGGCGACCGCATGTCTTGGAGATCTGGACGATCTGGACGATCAGGAGCGCGGGATCATGACCTTGAGAATACCTCCCCCAAGAGTAAAGCAGCTGACAACGAGGCTTCGCATTTGTTATCCAAGAGTGCCACTAGCGAAAACGGACGCCGAGGCCGATCCCGATCCGTCAGCACTATTGCCTCCCTTCGAACGGTTCCCACACCCGCACACAGTCCTGTTAGACGCCATACCGCTCGCAGTGGCAGCATCTCCGAGAACGTTGTCGACGTCAACGGTATCAAGAAGATTGTTCTAGAGACTACCAGCTCTAGTGACACAGATGATAAAGCCACCAGCAGCGGGTCAAACGGTCAAGAGGATAGTAAGCACTCGGAAGCTGAATCCTCACACGCGGGCGGCAAGGGTGGAAACAAGAAGAGGAGGAAGAAGCGTGGTAAGAAGAAGAAGGGCGGCCCCGGAGATGGCCATGAATCACAGCCGCTGCTTGGAGACAATTAATCGTCTGCACGTCTCTGAGGCATGTTGTTAATGCGTTTTTATTTTGAACAGGAATTCTAAGCAACGTGGAGCTTTCACTACTCAATCGCATTGCTCCTGGGCGAGCCGGTCGACGTGCTTCGGAGCCTTCGTCACGCCCGTCATGTAATCCAGAAATGGATGAAAATAGTTGGTATTGTTAGGGTTCTGGGGCTGTGTGGTGTTTTTTTTTTTCATTTTCCAGTTTGCGCAGGTGTGGGTGTACGAATAGGCAGTGGAGATATTTCTTGTACAGTGGAGTTATGCATCGTGGATCCGTCAGAGAACCAAAAATATTCTTGTATTTTCTTGACAATTTTTGCTTTTTCTGGCGATGGTGATTACTGTGGACGACTCGAGTGATGTTTTGTTGAAATAAAGGCACAAAAAAAGTTCGTATCTAGCAATATCACTACTTCATTAAACCCTATGATTCCTAGGCAAACAATGAAAACCGAGTCTTCCTCCTCCAAACCCCGTCCTCTTCACCCTACAGAAATGCTCATCAAGCACCCACAATACTCTTACCAGCCACCAACACCCTGTCAAGATACGCAGCATCAACCGTATCCTCCAGCCACGTCCTCGCCTTCTCAACAACCAACTCCCACGTGTCCTCCTCATTCGCCATCTTCTTCTCCAAAAAGCTAATCACCGCAGCCGTAGCTACATACTGTTCCGCCACGCTCACGTCTTTTGCTACTCCGTCGTCAACGAGTCTCTGCGCCACTTCCAACGCTTCCGTAACGTTGATGCCCATTTCCCTGCACTGAAGACCCGGGATAGATGGCCAAGCGCCGGAGAAGGATTGCTGCGCGATTAGACGCTGAAGGAATTTTCCGGGGTCGATGATGGAGGGTGGTGCTAATTATCGATTGAGTTAGTAATGTAGAACTCATTTATGTGTGTAGGAAAGGGGGTGGGTAAAGTAGGGAAGGTGTATATATGTGTGTGTATGTGGAAAACGTACCAGCACTAGGTTCATCGTTATCAAAAAGTCCACATCCCATGTCCTCGTCCGAGTCATCGTCCTCTTCCTCTTTTTCTTCTTCCGCACTGAAGTTGCAGAAGCCGCCTCGACTTCTCGACTGGCTTGCGGATGCGGGAGGGGGCTTGAAGTAGCCCATGGCGGCCACGCCGCCTCTACCGCCGCTTCTACGACCTAGGCTTCTATGACTCAAGTTTCTATCGCCTATGCCGCCCATGGCAGCCGCGTTTCCATAGGATATTGGGCCTGATTTACGAATTGAGTTACTGAGCATGGCTCCGGCTGTTTGCCTTGAGTGCGGTGTTGAGTGGAGCGACCGAGATTGACTTAATGGAGCTTCTGATAAGATGTGTTGTTAGATTTTCCAGCCAGAATTGAATTGGGGGGTTTAAAGACATACCCTCATCGATCATGTCCCAATCTTCACTTTCTTCTTCTTCGTCTTTGCTAGCAACATCTCTGTCAATCGTTGCTTGCAGAGCTTTCTGGCGCATCTCAGCAATAGTGGATTTATTTGCTTCAACTGCTACGAAGGAGCAGTACTTCCCTCCAACCTGGAATTCAACTCCAAGACGTACGGCTTCGCGTCTTTGGAGCAGAGCATACATGCTTGGATGCTTTTCCTTGATCAGCACACCAGTGTCATCGATGGTAGCACCTGAGATCCAGCCTCGGCCTTCCTCAAGCTCTTGGGTTGCTTTTCGTGCAGCGAGCTGGTGGATCATGTCGTCGGTATCCTTGCGCGACTCGACTGGAATTTCGAGCTCGAGAGGACCTTGTGGGGAGGTGCCTCTTAGGAACACACTCTTGAGCTTCAAGTGCGAGGATTCGGGCGCAATGAGCAAGTATACGCAAGTACGATGGAAGGGAACTAAAGAAGGAATATTGTGAGGCGTTTGCAGGAGACTTGGACGCTGGACATCCGGAAGACCTGCAAAAACGTCCTTTGACTCGCCTTCCTTAGGGTGCTCTTCTTTAAAATCAGGGTCGTACAATGATATAGGCTTGGTTTCTGTTTTGTCACTTGAGTCCTTGGAGTCCTTGGGATCGAGGTGTACGCGAAGGCCATCGGCGACATTCTCGACGCTACCATCTTCATATTTGATCTCCAGACGATAATCCTTGATATGTGGAGTAAGTGCTCCCTTCAGCTGTGGAGAATGTTAGCCACACAGTTTAGTATACCAGATTCTCCTTTCATACTTACCATGCGAACCACCTTGCTATCCATCTTCTCGTTGTCTGTGACCATCTGAGCAAAGCCATACCCCGCCCTTGCGACACCCTCAATCAAGGCACTCGATACCCCTCCACCAATACCCAAGGGGAAGACGCGAATGTCTCGACTCTCAGTTTCACGGGAAAGATAGCTGAAAAGCTCGTCCTGAGACCATATGTCACCATCGGTGAGCAAAATAAGCTCAGTCGGGCCATCCTTGCTACGGGCTTCGACACATGCCTCGACGGCGGCAAGAGTTTCTGTTCCACCGAAGCTGGCGTCAAAATCCTGAACATGTCTGAGAAGAAATTAGTAAAAGGATGGTGTTAATTTGTGAAAGAAACTTTGCAGAACAAGTATGTGTAGTTTGGACAGGTCGCTGTCATGTACATCGTCAAGTGATGATCTCAAAAACAGCCGGTACTTACTTGATCGCCTGCTGCAGCGTCTTCTCATCGTATATCTGGCTTTTATGCCAAAGGAACTTATGACTTGACCCGAAAGAGCAGATGTTGAATGTGCAGCCAAGAGGAATCGACTTCAAGAATATTTTCAGTGCCGCCACGAGAGTGGTCATGTTCTCCCCTCGCATACTACCCGAACGATCTGCAATGAGAATGATTTCTGGTTTCTGCGACTTGAGATTGAACTTTGGTACCAAGGTAGTCATCAAAGCGCGTTGATTTGGCGACGTTGGGTGTTGCTCTAAAATTGCTTGAGGAACACCGATGTCCTTTGCAACCACTTGAAGGATAAAATCATTCTCAAGTCCCGTCGCACCTAGAGCAAGAGTGGCTGAACCTTGAGAAAGTGACTGATTCTCATCAATGGCACTGCTGGATAGTGAACCAAGTATGACTTGGATAGGGTGGGAGGGAGAAACAATCTTTTTGATCGGGACACCCTCAGGCATGCTGATATCCACGGTGATTGAAATTTCTTTAGAAGGTATTCGTTTTAGTGATTCTTGTAGTTCTGAAGCATAACCTCCGGAGTAACCTTTGTAGTAGCGCGGAGCAATCGATGTTGGCATGGTAAAGCGCAGGCCATCGACTTGGGCATCATGCTTGAGCTCCTGCACATATTTGATAGTGATTTTCACTGTTGCATTAGAGGGAATATTGCCAATTGTAGTTGTAAAGACATCGGCGGCATTAGGTAGCTGTCCCAGCAACGCAGCGCTTTCACCTCGTTCCTTGGCCTCTTCGTAGGTCTTTTTGGCATCGTTCTTTTCTTTGACTAGACCATAAATTGTGCGTTTTCCGACTTGGCAGTAGAAATCGACGACGCTGACGCCGTCGTACAACGGAAAAGCATACCTGCATGGCGAGATTTAGTCCTAGGGTAACTCAAGCGCTTTTGGGGCATAATAAACAAAGTACCTTATCTCATCCAACGCGTTTTCGGAGCCATTGAAAAAAGTTTGCGTCAGTACTGTGCGAGAGGCCATTGACAAGATTGTTGTGTGGGCGTCCATATTGACCTGCGGTAAGTAGCTACGTTTGCAGGTCTCCGAGTTGAATATGTAGCACCCGCATAGGTGCCTCCCTATGTTGGCTTGCATCATTGGTTGCGCCGTGTATGTGTGTGAGAGTTTGAAATGTGATGTGAGTTGAAGAGATGATTGGAAACTCTTCACTATATATGCATACGTGTGATGGTGGCTGCCTGGTACGTCTTGGCAACATTACCGAAAAACGCAATTGCAGTTGGAGCAACCATCTCTCTTGCCTTAGTATTGAAGGCACGTGATTCGTGCACTCCGTTGAGGCATAAGGGTACGAGTTGATGAGTCACGAGATGAGCCGGGGCCAAAAGGTGCTGGGGTTGATAGAGCGGGCTACTAGTGAGTCAGGCCCTCTACTCAACGTCGTGTTCCCCAAGCTTCACCGGTATTTACGTCGTTTATCTGTCTTCTTCCGCGCTAGCTGGATCAACTGAATCCCTTTTAGTAAAATGAGTCATTTCCAATCATTTTCAGGGCCTTACATATCACATGTCAATAAGCCATTGTTTTGGCAAAAAACCCAAAGTGTATCGTGCGTCCAGTCAATTGCTACTTACGCCATTTCTGATTGTGTTAGAGAATGCTTACGGTTGAATTGCTCCCTCCAGAAGCGACATGACCCAAGGTCTATGTCAATCGGCCACCGAGTTGTGTGAAACGAATTGCATGCTTCGTAGATGGACCGACAATCCTCAGACCGTAGTACCGCCGTCATGGCATTCAATGCGCTCGCAAGCACACAGCCACCACGTGATTTGGCGCTTGTCACCGACTAAGTTCTCCTGAGGCGATGAAGAAGTATCACGGTTTGTATATGTCGTTGACATGTCACGTCTCACTGTCGCGTTCTCGAGCGGAAGGGAAAGAGCAGCCGAAGTGTCTCATCACCCGTGTTCTCAGACAACAATTGTGTCATGACGTCAGCCATCATCACCTACTCTGAAACCTTAGATCTGTCCCAAAGAATACGCCTTTCTTTTGTTGCCATATATCTCTTTTCATTATCCCGGCATGTTGTGATTGACTTTGTTATTGATACCACCATGAGTATTCCAGGATACGACGCGCTGGTGTGCTACACCACACCACCAAACAACTACATTGGCACCACACTCTTTCTCTCATACATTGTCGCTGCATTATATGCCACCTTCGCAATCACTTGGTCCCTATATTCTCAGTATGCTGCCATATTTAACCGACCTACCTCGAAGAAAGATGAAAAACTCGATGCAGCCCGAACGGCGCGGGCGCGTCACATCAAAATCTACGCCTTTCTAGCTTCCCTGAGCTTTGCGACTTTATCCTACAACATGCTCATGTTTTTGATTACCCACTTCCTGGATTGGAGTGCAAAGAGGAGCCAGAATCCGAGCGATGTCACGATAGAGCAGCTAAAGAGATGGATGTTGGAGTCGACGCTTTTCCAGGATTTCGCGCAGGATCTGGTCAAGAACGCGCCCAATGCCGCGTGGGCTGAAGCTGCCATTCTCGCAACATGGTTCTGGAATATCTACATGGCCCAGAAAGGTAAGCCTTTTCTGCCTCACTAGAGCACGTGAGTTTGCTAATACATTTGCAGCGAGAGAACGCAAATACGACGCATCAATGGTGCGCAATTACACCTTGTTGAGCCAAATTCTCCCGATATCCTTTACAGTATTGCTTTTCATCATTCAACTTCACCTTTCATCTCCGGACATTGCGCCAGCAGAAACTTCAAAAGAGCCCACAAAGCCCAAGTCTGCGCCAAGACGTCGCAGCCCAATAGCATCGTTGCAGATTCCTAATATCTTACTCAATGCCTCCCTCCTGGCTCTCCCAGCTCTACGATCAAATTCCATATTTATGGTTCTTCTACTGCTCACAAGAGCAATATTACTTCTCCCCCACTCCGCTATCATGAGTCTTAGGGATGCGGATGTAGTCAAGTGCATCACCGTCTCTGGTGGATTTGCAGTTGCCAGTGTAGCAACGATGAGAAAAGAATTAAGTTATGGTGGAGTTTTGGGGTCGCTTGGAGATGGTGGTTATGCTATCAAAGCATTATCATGGGATGCACTGCTTGGCTTGATAGCCTATGCAGTACTAGGATGGGGAGGTGGCGTTTGAGACGTCAATGTGTAAGACACTGGACGAATTTAACGATTTGGACTTGAACCAGAAAAAAAAGGTGCGTTCCTATCTTTGGAAATATCATCTGCTAGGGCGATTCCTCAGATGGATTTGTCTTCTCAAGAAATCATGCTGTACTGTGCATCACTTGGTCCAGTGTTGCCCTCTTTACTCGTCCCTGCTTGACAAATCAAACACACACTTTTTTTCTTCTCATTTCATTACTATGGGGGGTACTAATTAAAATGATACTACCAGTAAAAGAATACTAATCAAGGAAGATTCCGGATTCCAAGGACCGATTAGAGGAGTGAATACTCCAACCAATACATAAAAGACAGCAAGTGTTACACCACCGATTAGTCAGCCTCTTCAACTCCCAAATTGGTACTGATGAATCTCAATTGAAAACTTTTGAAAAGAAAAGAAGAGAAAAAATACCCCCCAGGTGAATGAATGATAATCTGCATCCCGAATCTCTCGGGGGTGCCCAAGAATTCTGTGCCGAACCAAAAAAAAAGGGACTTTCAAAATCTGATCCCGCTCTGCTAGAGATTACCAAACTTGTCTAGAACCTCATTTCCATTCTCGCCTGTCCCTTCAGTCGGGTATAATCTCATTTCCCGTCCGACTGCTTCTGGATCCAAGAGATATGGGCTTGTAGGATCCAACTTCAAGACATTGGAATATGTACTATCTCGAGGCGCGAAACCACTGTAGCTGCCTGCTGGAACGCTTGCAGGCACTGCTGAATATCTAGTCGGTTGTTGTGGTTGCCCAGTACCCATGCCTGGGACTGCAGCCATGCCTGGGACGGTAGCCATGCCGAACTGCGTTGGAAGCAGCTGGTGTTGGCCATAATAGCTACCTGGCGACAGTCCATTCGTTGGACCCGCCGCATGCACCGATAGCCCTGTCGAAGGCATCGCTGGATACCTATCAGCAACGGTTGGTCGGTAAGGTCGTGGCGGGACCATTAGTCGAGGACCCTGGTCTCCTGGATGAGAAAAACCAGCCAAGGTACTTGGATCTCGCAGCTGACCTTGCTGCCATGTGGTCAAATTACCACATGTATTCCCCTGATGGTAAGTCCCTGCTGCCAAAAGCGGCTGTGAAAAGCTGGCCGGCGGCGGTGCTGGAGCCACATTGAACCCTGTAACAGCACGTGGTTGTGACAGCCTACTATCTCCACTTCCAGCGGGCATGTTCCCGTAAGACACATCATGTTGCTGGAACAGGTATCTTGGTCCAGGATCAGTTGGTAACGTGGAGCCCTGATGATGGCTTGAGGACGGCTGACCAACACTACAAGGCAAAGGAGTTTGCGCTAAAAAAGCAAAGGCACCATCAACCCGACTTGCGGTTCTCTTAGAGCGACTGCTAAGCAGTATCTGGCGTTCATACTCTTGCTGCTGATTCTCCAAGACCGAGGAGTTTGGCGCCGAACTAGCTGGAACTAACTGCCGCAGTTTCGTTCTGATTCTATGTCGACCATATGGCTGGTGACGAGGAACTGAGGCTGTGTTGCTTTGGATACTGGCCTTCGAGCGCTCATCACCTCTACGGCGTCGTATATTCTTGAGTTTATCAATATTACGGTCTGGAATCTCTGCCGTCTGCGACGAAATCAGTTTCTGAGCCTGGAATAATACGCTGTATGATAAAAACGGGTGTAACAAAGAGTTTCCAACGCCGGCAAGATGACTTACACAAGATGGTGTTTCTGGTAGGGGGTCACCAGATGATCTTTCATGCCGCTGCGACCTCCGAACGTCATTCTGGTCGTGGGCAAATGGTCGCTTCGAGTTGGGGTTTGATGTAGTGCCCTCCATTGCCTGGTGCTATGTGGTGAAGATGAAGGCAAGAATGATTTCTCCGAGAAGAATGAAAAATAACTACCAACCCTTCTCCCAAAAGACACCTCTGATTGGACTCGAAGCCTTCTTGGTTGAGAACGAGGCAAAAACTACAACCGTGGTGCGCTTTGTTATATCCGTCGCTACCGAACAGCCATGAGTTTCGATGTGTCTGAGCATCGTCGGAGTACATTGCAAAAGAGATTGTAAACCGAAGACTTGGTAGGAAAGACTGGCGAGTCTATATAGGATGTATCACCAGGAGCCTTCCTCACCAGCTCCAAGACTCTTTTACACCATCTAACGTTGCTTCTAGGTTTGAATTTTGGAAACCGGCCTGCAACTCCCAAATCTCTCCGCGCCTGCACTGAACAGACGGCATAGCAGAAAAAAAGCAGCAACCCGCGCCTGGAACATCGTGAACTGTACCAGATAATTGTGACCATTGATACAGCACCACTACAACCCAATCTACATCGGCTAGTCTCCTCGTGGTCACCGCCTCCTATTCTCAACAAGACCACTACGTAATGGAGCGCACGAGCAGTTACAGGCCTTTCTTCTCTACAACCATGGTTGACCGTCATTCTATAGAATTGAATTATTGTTACGAAATACCAGCACGCGCTTTCTCCTACCATGTGTCCAAAGGATACGCCACTCCTCTAATCAAAGGACGTTCAATACGCTGCGTTTAGTGCTCGACCCGTCAGTCCCCACGCATATGGAGAAGATTTAAATCATGGGGGCGTGTTTGTCTGCTCTTCGCACAGAATGACGTCCCACATTGCCCGTCTCATTGTTTTTGAATGCATAGCTTATTTCATGCGCATGTGTTCCTGTGAATATAATGAACCCCTAAATTTTCATAATGGAAGTTCGAGACAGGCAAATATCGGTATATGAATCAACCTTCTGAGAAAGAACAAGTCTATAAGAGCAAGATGCCAACCCAAGTTATTCACTCCATGAATTTTACATTCCAAACCCATATTCAAGTATCTCTCCCTCCCCTATTTCCCTATCAAGAAACTCTGACACTAAACGCACCACATCCTTACAAAAAAAACCCCCCCTTCTCGCCGC